AATAAATTTAAAAAAAAATGTATAAAAATGTTATAAGATGTTTTGAAACACTGTCACAAAACTTATGGCAGTAGAAAATCTCAAATAAGTCGATTCAAACAGGCCATATATCATGTTTTATGACTTCTTCGTACTAGAGTTGGCTCAAAGCTAGTCTATCATAGACTTCCGTGGAAGGAACCCGATGCACCACACACCATAGAAGTTTTGTATGAAGATGATGACATTGTAAGCTTTACTTTGTGTAATTATACCATTTTGTGTGTCTCACTAATTGATTTCTATATCTGTTTTTTGGATAAGGATTGATTGAGAGTTGCGTCTTGGCTAGATTTATACATTTTTGTGTTCTAGTTGAATGCTTTCAGTGATTCTTTAACAATAGTATTGATTATCTTCAGACTAAGATATCTATAATTTTCCTTCCCTTAATCAATCTATTTCGTCGCATGTATGAACAATGAAAATGTTTTTCAATACTTGTTTTCCTAATTGTGATGTTGATTGTGACTTCAGATAGCTCTAAATAAGCCTTCTGGCCTGCAAGTTCTGCCGGGAGGTCTCTTCCAGCAAAGAACAGTTTTAACGCAGCTGCAATGGGAAACCAACAATAGAAGTACCTCTGAAGTACACCAAAAGCCTCAGCCTGTTCCAGTGCATCGTCTAGGGAGGGGAACTTCAGGTTGTACTAATTATTTCTGTTCAAATATAAAACTCTTACATTATATTGGTTGCTTATTTTGCTTTGAAAATGTTACATGCATTAACTGAGGTGAGTTTTTGAATTGTATGAGAGGAAAATACTTTTATATAGTTAACGGAAGGTAAAAAAATGAAAGCTAGTAATCACTATTTTCACATTTCATTGTTTAATGTTTATCTTACAAGTGGTTGTAAATCGGTGATATTTGTAGTTATCAGTGTCACTACCAGACATGTCATACTATGAGTAGAGTATTTTCTTCTGATGCCCTTCTAAATTCTAATGTATAAAATAACAAACTAACCCTTGAAACTTTCTAATGCTTTCACAATTGTTTGATTGCATTGCATCACAGGAATTTTATTATGTGCAAAGACAAAACTGGCCAGAGCTAATCTTGCATCTTATTTTGCTGATGGAACATCTCGCCTAGGAGAAAAGAGGTTAGGAAAGAACCACCTTTTCTGCTTTGTTGTATCTACTTAATTTACTCTTCAAATTGGACCCGGTTGTTCTCTCGTTTTATTCTGTTAGGAAAGAACCACTTTTTTGGTTTGTTGTATCTACTTAATTTACTCTTTGGACCCGGCTGTTCACTCATTTTATTCTGTTAGGAAAGAACCACTTTTTTGGTTTGTTGTATCTTTCCAATCCTGTTTCACTCATTTTATTCTGTTATTTACCAAAGCAGAGATACAAACCAGGAGCTGGGGAAGATTGCAAAGATATACCGAGCACTTGTGAGTGGGATAATTGATAATGACACGGTAATAATATACCTACATTTTTTTTTTGTTTTACTGGTATTGTGTACAAACGATTTTTGACTGCATCCACTCCCAAATAAAAAGGATAAGACCGCAGAAAATCTTATTGTTGCCAAGGCTCCCCTCAGTGCGTATCGTCACCTATGCTTGTTTAACTAAAAGTTCATTTTTCCAGTTATTTGTTATGGCTGCTTCTATTGACACCGTGTGTTAACTAAAGTATTAATTTTCTTCACAGGTGACAATTAATCAACCAATTGGAATTGTAAAATATCCTGGTGTTGCTAAAGGGTTATATGTTGCTTCTCAATCAGGTTATTATTAATGATGACTTATTTTTATCCAGATGGATGAGTCTCAACAGGAAAGCCACGCTGATAAAACCGCTCTTTATCTTTTTTTTAATCATTCACTCATGCATAGTTGTTTTGATTGATTCAGGGAAACCAGCACTCAGTGTAGTGGACATTCTAGAAAGAAATGTAAAAGAAAATAGCACATTAGTACAGGTTGCCAATTTGTTCAAGACTACATGTTCCTTCTTATGAATAAAACATCTGCTATCTAGTACCTACCACTATTTATGAATAAAAACATCAACGAAATAAATAAATCATGATTCTGTATGTAATAATATAAACATCTTATGAAGTTAGGAACTATCGTTTTAATTAGAAAATGTGTGGCACTGCTGTGTTTTCCGATATTGTTCAATGTTCTTCGATGTCCTATCAGCCTGCACTTCCGCCTCAACATGTAACCTTTTTGCTACCTAAAGGTTTGCTTGTTTTTCATCTCTTGATGACCCCTTTAAGACTTAAGAGACAATAGAAGAAATTAAGTTATCATAAAATTGCATATCCAAACACTTAGGTGAATTAATCCCTAAGAAATTAGAAATTAGATTAACAAAATTAAAAATACTAGGTCATATTGTTTAGAATAATGATAACAGAAAGTTTGTATGTTGCAAAACTTATTATATGGTTGTTGCAAAATAATCAACTTCAATACCTATAAAGAACTATTGTGGTTTGCAAAAATTTGGATTGTAATGATTATAACATCCTTTTTAATTTTTCTGTTGGCATGTTTTAATAGGTGAAGATTCAATCTGGACGACCGCATCAAATCCGCATTCATCTCTCTTTCATAAGGCATCCTTTGTTAGGTAAGTATATTTAATGCTGGAAATTAACATTTATGCAGTGTGAATTTTATACCATGTTGTTAGATAGTGGCATAGCAAAATTTGAACAGATTTCTATTGTTTTGTTTTGCAATATGTTATTTAGTATAAAATATTGTCAAACAGGGACTGCTGTGGTGCTATTTAGTTCAAAATCCAATTTTCTTGTTAGTTCTTTGCTGCAAAATCATTAACAAGTTAACAACCATTCAGGTTTAAGGTTAATTTTAATTTAAATAGAAGTAATACCATTTTATAGATGTTCTTGCATATTAAAAATATGTAAATACAAAAAAAAAAAAAATATATATATATATATATATATATATATATATAGTGTTTGTTGCCTTTGAAAAAATGAAGTTCTGCGTGATTGCACCTAAACATACTCAGGGGGGGGCCAAAGTCCGCCATATGTGATTGGAAACACTGATTTCTAGTTTCAATTTGGTGTTTTTATGTTTGTCTGTGGGTATTTTATCCTTGGTTTCTCTAGGGCCTTAGGGATATGATTCTGGTATGGTTCTTACTTTTTTGAATTCAAATTTCTTCCTACAAATCTCTTTCAAAATATAGGTAGCCCCAACATACCTAAAGGATTGAATATTCTTAGTGTTCTTTCATATCTCGAATGTTATGAATCAATCATTAAATGCATTCATAGTTCTATTCCTGAGTAATCTGCACAATGAGAGCATCTGCATTATTTTCTTTTGTCTTGCATGCTCCATGTTTGACTCGAAATGCTTGAACTACTAAGGATCCTACTCTTTATCCAAACAAACCTTTCGTGTATGTTTATCTGCAGGTGATCCTCTTTATACTGTTGGTGGGCAGCCAAAATGCTTGGATTTCGACTTTGTGGATGAGAGTTTTGCTAAAGATGGGTAGGTCATTGTATTTACATTTTACAAGGAAAATTTCATTCATTTAACACCATATTCTTCTTTGTAGTCACTTAGTAGTAGAGTTTAATGGTAGTACACTATAGTGTAAACATGTGAATATTCGCCAGTTGTTTTCACACTTGTTTATAAATTTATCTATTGGCTTGTCTTAAACTCCCTTAGAATTTGGAATAGCATTAATTCAATCCCATAAAGACAAATGAATATCTACAATCACTACTCAGACCTTATCATGTTTCGGTGAGACTCTTATATTGAAGTGTGCCGTGTTAGTGGATAAACAACCCTATTTAAGAAATAAGTTTTCAATTACTTGCAATACTTTAATATCTGTTTTAGCTTGCATTTAGAGACAATGGTTCATTTGAGCGTAGGAAAAAGAAAGATATTCATTTTAGATTTGATCTAAGTTTTGACATCGTTGCTCATTGTATGTTTTAGGGGTTATCCAAGACCTGCGAAAGCAGTTCCTGGAGATTGTGGGTATTCTCTGCATGCACATAAATTGTTTCTCTCCCATCCAATAACTAACGAGGTACTTGAAAAGTATTTGTATCATTATGACCTCCTGTCCTAGGATTAATTTTCCAGTTTATACCCCAAAGTAAATAGTTTGTCGTGTACTTGCAGTTAATAGAAATTAATGCACCACTTCCTTCCATCCTCCAAACACATGAAGAAACTAAAGAAACGAGACAACTGCTTTAGATTGTTGACGATGGTTTGACTATTGAAAGATGATATATGCTTGGAAGAAAATGGCCTTCCCTCTATGCTATGTTTTAGCAAAAGCGTGGAATTGAACTTTGCCTCAATTTCGACAACCAGGCAAATGTGATTGAGTAACCCTCTTTTTCAGAAATTATAATTATTTAAATAATTATTGGACTGCCATACCACCTGCGGAAAAACTGAAAAAAGTCATTGTCTGCTCCGCTCTCTTCCTATCTTCATTCAAATTCCTTCTACAAAAGATAGCATATACTTCACATTTTAGCAACAAATCCTTCTTTGAGGAAGAATCAGTCTGTTGATGAATGTCAAATCATTGCAATTCCTATTCACTAAAAACTCTTGATTTTTTTTATAAAAAAAAAAAGAGAAAATTATAAATGTTGAGGGAGTTTTGAAACATAAATGTCATGGGTCAAAACTTCAAACAAATAGCAGACGGTTTTCAGGAATGAGATGTAACGAGGGCATGGGATCTAAACCAAAATTGTAATGGCAATCGCCCCTCCTAACTTCCAGAGATTATTTCTGTATTCTCATCAAATACAACAAATACAAAGCTGCTTGCTTTTACATTACAAGCCCCCTAATATTTTACCAAAAAGAACCATTAAATCAGCGTCCTACACTGTAGCAGTAAACGAAAACTATTATTATACAGGACCCGGCAAAAAAGACAAGTTTGCCACTAAACACACATACTACCTGCCTATGTCCCCTTTCCCTCCCCAAGATTCATCATCTCCCAAGATACTCCCCTTCTGACAACCATATTTTTCAGAGTTGGAATAATGCATTTTGATTGCTGCCACAGGATCCGAGACACCACTGCATGACCCACCCACTAGAATCCCGGGTCTTCCAATGCCATTCATTCCCATCACTCCTATTCCATGCTGCTGCAAACTAGATATTGCTTCAAAACTGTTTCTTCTATGCATCTCAGAGAATACATCTTGGCTGTGCTTGGCATCTAGTATAAATGGCTGCACTTTTGGACCATCCCTACTTCTAAGCATCTGATAGTCAAGCATGGCATTGCTTCCATTGATGTCTCTAGCAGTAAAAGTGGATGCGCCAAACGGCTGCAATGGTTGTTGCTCCAAACTGGAAGATGATGTAGGATAATTGCTGAAGGCAGCAGGATATTTAGCTAACAAGGAAGAATCAGCCAATGATGGGAGACCAGTCTGTATTATTCCAGTCCCTTCCCAAAAACCATAACTCTTCACTGGAACATTTTCAAGGCCAGGATAATCAGCACGGTCAAACTTCAAAATTTTCAAATTTCCATCAGAATTCTGATGGCTAGTAATTTTACGTTTACAAGACTTGTTACTTGACTTGGTATGATTCGTACTATTTTCTTCACTTCCCTTTGTAATCAAATTGGAAGAAGAATTGGTTAGAATCTTTCCAAACAGTTTCACATTACCATTTCTGGATGTGTTTTCTGAATCAGAAGAATGCCATAATGTTTTGAAATGATCATCAGTCTGTTTGACCTTTTGGGGAAAAGGAAACTCAGACACTGAACTGCTGCAATTCACATCCCCATCCACTTCCTTCTTGACGGGCACCTGCATGGGGTAGCCCTGGAGGATGCTAACAGTCTCAAGATGATTGCATGGAAGAGGAAACTGATGGTCACTGCCAGAACTATGACACCGCATATCTCTACCTCTTTGAATATCACAATTAGAGGACAATCTATCCTGGCTAACTGCTTTTTCACATGGAGCAGCAGCAGCGTTCAGCAACAATGAATTTGTAGTAGCCCGAGAATTGTCTGTAGATAATGCCGAAGCATGAGGTTTTCCAAAGGAGACATGCTTATTTTCAGAACCAAAGCTCAATCCTGAGCATGAATTGGCCACACGAGAGAATGAAAGATTTGAGGTAGTGCTTGACTCTAACGCACAACTTTTCGATTCAACTACAACACCTGCATCAGCTTCATGTTTAACATCTCTGTCTTCAAAGCATGGGGGTGCTGCCACTCTTTGCCTTTCCACTTCATTTCTGAGATCCCCAGAAGAACCCTCTGAAACCATTGTATCCATAGCAACAGAACCACACTCCAGTGGTTTAATTATTCCTACAGTAGAAATTGATTCTCTAACTGCATCTCCCAATTTATTTGCTTTGCCTCTGGAGACTTCTATGCTATCTGATGTACTTTTTGCTGGATGGTCATTGACTGAACAAGACTTGTCAGTTTTGTGCAAGCCAACTCCGCTTTCATCAGAACCCGGCTTAGATTCAAACTTAATTGCACAAACATCAGAAACCATATCTACATTTTCAAGATGTACTACCGTCCCAGTGATTTCTCTTGATTCATTTAATTCAGCTGACAAGCCCCTAGCTTCCAGAGGATTGGATTCGTCATGGAATGTATTCAAGGCATCAGAAGGCAGGTCCTCATCTGTTTTATTCCCAGACTTATCAGCATTAACCACTGAGCCTGCCTCAACAAGACATGCATCATCTGTGTCACTCTGACCACCATTTGCATCATCATTTGGCGGGGATCCTACAATTCCAGGTATGGGGCGTACGAGATTCAATCCAAGGCATTTTTGAGTCTTGCTGAAGAAAACTTTGCAATGTTCTCGGGACCTTGTGCCTACACACTGTGCTATCTTCGTAAAATCCTTACCAAAAGATGATAAAGCCTGAAGAAAAGCTGCCTTCTCATCGTCTGTCCACCCAGAAAGATCTACTTCCCCACAGCTCTCATCTGAACATGTCTCATCATCAGCATTCTGAGAAATATCAGGCATCAAGGTTTGCTTTCGCAAAGGGTTCACTTTCAAGAATTTTCTTTCCTTATTGTCATCTACAGGATCAATTGAACTTGTTATGCAGGAGCTCATAGCCTCAGATGAAAGCGACCCACATATACCGGCCAATACATCAGCTGCAGCAGCAGTCTCCCTTTCATCCCCAAGAGTGTCCAGACTATTTGATCTCTCTATAATGCTGTTCCCGCCCCTCGATGCTTTTACATTACCAAATCCTTCCAAAAGGAATCTTCCTGCTCGCATCCTTTTATTACCTGCAATGTCAGCTGCCATCACTGAAGCTGCACTCAAAATATCAAGCGAAGAAACATTAACTTGATGATTCCATGTTATACCTGATGCCATTAAGTTAGTTCTAGCTGCATATGACTTCCCTAGCTTACCAACATCTTTCATATTCAATTTCTGAAAACATTCAGATTTGTGATTCTTGTAGTAGAACTCTACACAGTCCGCAGTTGTCTTGTGATCAAGGAAAGAAGCAATTTTTCGGAAATCTTTTCCAAACACGGCAAATTTCTCTAAGAATATTTCTTTCTCTTCTGATGTCCAAGGATTGATCATATCTCTTTCTTTCTCAATAGCAAGCGGATCTTCAATCAACCCATTACTAGATATGAATTGTGTAACCATCTTCTCTTTCTCATCCAATATTAATGCTGGCATCTTCAGGGTGTTTCTCTGAATCTGTGTTTGAGTTTCCGAAAGAAGTTTGCTTGTGAAATTAATAAGCTCTGATGTTGGAACCAAGCTTAGATGATTTCCAGCTGCATTCATTGAAAAATGAAGGATGGAAAAAAAAAACTTAGTTATCATCACAGCAAAAAGATTAAATAAATATGAAACTCAACAAACAATTATAAAATATCATGTGCCAACATCAAACATCACAGAAAAACCCGCACAGAATAATTTTGATGATAACAGCAGATAAGACACACATAATAATTATATTATGATAAAGCAGAATAGCAGCCCCAGATTACTGACATTCTCATCTATTATTTTGATAAGTTGAAATTGTGACCAGACAGACCTTCAGCATCAAAACCCTAACAAGTAACAACTATTTTTATTGACACGAGGCCTACACATCACAGCCAGTCAGCACGTGTCCAGCAAATAACTTGCAAATGAAACCAAACAGGAATGATAACCATGAGAAAGGTACTAAAATCAAAATCATTACAAGAAAAAGTCAACGAAAAAGAAAACTCCTCCTACAAGGTTATGTACCAACAACACAACAAAGCAGAGCTGTATAGTATATGCACCAACATGACAAAATACAAATATAGTAGGACATTGAGATATATCACCATACTAAAATTATATAATATCATCTTGTACAAGTCCTGGCCCGGGTCGACTATTATACTATATATGGCACACATACATGTACATCCTTATTACACATTAGTTAAAGCTACGCCTACATAAGTTAAACTAGCCATGGAATCTCATTCACTTCAATACAGCATCATATGCAAGAAAATCCCTATACAGAAATTTTATTCAAAGTTTGACAACAAAACATGCCTTCGATATAAAATGTTTTAAAATCCAAGTAATAAAAAAATCTCCACAACTACGAAATTAACCAAACCACATAATCCGGTCAATGGGGTTGATTTCAAGTGTAGGCCCAAACCAAAGAGAGGCAGGTTGAAAGAATAATTAGTGGAAACGAACAAAACCAGCAAAATTTAGAAAAACTACCAATCTAGTCAAAAAGTATTGAAGAGATCAAAAACAAAAGGTAATGATGAGATCAAAATAAAAAAAATTCATCTTTAAGGCAGAGAACTAATTTGTTATTCTATCCTTAAGGTAGAGAGCCAAAAAAGGCCTCTCTATATTTCAATCACTGTCCTAAGGCGAGGATTCATACTAGCACAGCTTGTGATAGGGATGTTAACCTCACAGAGCCACGTCATTTTATTTATTTATTTTTAAGAATCTATCAATAAAAAAGCAACTACGAAGTCATTGAACTTTATCACAAAGCAGAAAAAATATCATTAAATTAGTATTTTTTGTACCAAAAAGTAAAATGCAAAAAGAATCAATGTAATAAATACCAATTGCGCAAACAAAAAAAAAAGAAATTAATTATGGACTCTCAGATTCTAAAATCAAATTGAAAAGGTTTCACAATGCCTATATATCCTAAGATATACACAAAATCTATTTTGGTACTTTAACCACCCAGACACTATTTCTATTATTCTCATTGCTAAACTGCATGACATAACTGAACTGCATTATAATGAAAACAATGCAAAATCACTGGCATAAGTTAAGCAAAAGAATTGGTGGAGAGATTCGTACCTGGTAAAGGAAACCGGGAACGAATGGAAGATCGGTTTTTCAGATTACTACTACTTGGTTCATTTTTCTTATGAGATTTTGGCCGGCATTTCTTAATAGACAATAAGCGCATATCTTCTTTCCACAAGTGATGCAAGGCTTTGAACTTGAGTGCAGTAACTTTCTCCTTAACTTTTTCAAGACGCTTTTTCTCAGCAAACTTTTCCATGATGAATGCATGACGGGATGAATCATTGCTGACTCCCATGTTAACAAGCTTTTTACAGTCTTTGGGCACTAACTTAGCAAATACTCCATGCGCTCTGTTGGCGGATTCTTTATTTGAAGCAATAATTGAATTATAAGTATCCTCATAGGTTTCCTTTACATCTGTAGGTGTATTGACATCATTACAAGCAGAAACACTAGGATCTTTCCTAGCAGTACACCGGACTAAGCATTTCATCGTAGTAGATTTAACAGTATCCATGTCCCTTGATAAGTTATCATATCCCCCAGTATCACGTGAAGAAACTGCTTTTACCAAAGGCAGAGGCTCAACAAATTTAGAAGTTGCTGATCCAGGACTATCAATATCCTCTTCCTTGTCATTTTCATGAATACTACATAAATTAGTTGACAGAGGCATCTTCTCTATATTGGGTTCATCGGAAGAAATAATTTTCAATGGCACTGGCCGAATAACCTTCTGAGAGACTTCGACTTCTTCATAGATTTTTATACTGCTATCTGCCTGCTGGGAGCCCAATGCTTCTGGAGACTGATATCTATCCACAGAATCAGATTTTAGAGACTTAAGTTCATTTTCAAGCAAATCAATTTCAGATTCAGTCATCTCCAATACCTTTGAAATGTCAGCTTTCCATATCAGTAACGTTTTAATTGCATTGGACCTAACTAGACAAGAATCTTCAGAACTTGGATCATCAGACTGCACTAACTCAACAATTGAAGAGCCCAAATTATTCAAGGAGTCAATATCCAATTTATCAAGGTTAAGATGAAACTTCTGCAGGTGATTCTGGAACCCAGGAGCAGGTGAATGACTCAAATTACTTAAATCATTGTCTGCATTTGCAATTTTTCCCAATAATTTATCATCCACGCCTGAAACAAGATTGAAGTTAGGTTTTGGCATAAAAAAAAAATATGCAAGGTAAACACAAGCAGTACACATAATACATTAGTTACTATGACAGTAAAATTGAAAGAGAAACCATAATTACCATTTCTCATCTAAGATTGGGTGAAAAATACATTGCAAAAATTAGAGTACAAAGAGACCAAAACAATAGGTTTTGGCATAAAAAATATATGCAAGGTGAACACAAGATGTACACATAATAACAAGCAGTACACGTAATACATCAATTACTATGGTGGTAAAATTGAAGGATAAACCATAATTACCAATTCTCATCTAAGATCGGGGGGAAAATATATTACAAATATTAGAGTACAAACTACTAGAGACCAATACAGTAGCTTTAACAAGCGCCCACACATAGGATATCATGTCAAAACCTATTAAGAGTTGAGATCAAATAGTACAATGACAGTTAGTATATTGAATTCATTAACCATTTTATTGCACAAGTAATCTTGAAGCTACCTATTTTAAAAGCAGAGGTCAGGACACAATACGTGTTTCAAGGATCAGTATCTAAATATCACTTGGAAACAGAAGGCATAAATCAAAATACGACCAAAACAGATTTTCACTCAATTTCAATTTAGTCCTCATAGTGTTATTTCCTTTTTAAATCAAGAGCACACCAACTGAACATTTTTAAACAAAAGATATAGCAGACATGTTCTTCATTAAAACAAGAAATGTATCAAGACAAAAAAGTGATGCATACAAAAAATTGCATGTCATGAGATAAATAAAGCAAAAAGGCACCAAGAAAACATCAACAAAGCAAAAGGCACCTGGTCCAATCTGAAAATTGCAACTAAATAAGGGGTTTATGATTTAGGGCAAATAAGGCAGGAAAACAGCAATTAAGCAAAAGGAACCCAGTCTAATCTGAAAAGTGTAACTAAAAACGGTAGTTGTGAAGATTAAAGATTAAGAGTATTAACATGTTAACAAATTTGTTTTGGCTGATATCTTAATACTATTTCAGAGGATTATTCAGAAACACCACGATATTGCAATAGGATTACTACAATTCTATATGAGATACAGAAAAATGTTAACACTGCAGGATCAGATGTTTATAGTAAACTCTTATACAAGTTAAATTGTCATTTTGTTCTTATCTATCCCTTTAATAGCAGGATTTGACACAGTAGTAAAGAAAGCTTTGTAACATACCTGGTGAGGAACTGCAGGCAACAGAAGATGGAGTTGCAGGAGATGCACAGTCTGAAAATCCTGTAACTTTTGGGCTTTTATCTACTAAGTTGGAACTGATGAAATTACAAGGTTCCATATTGCCAGCAGACGAGACTGAGCCATCTTTGTTTGCTTCTGGATCAACTTTTTTCTTCTCGTACTTTGCAAGCCCCTCGCCCCAATTTAGCCTAGACTTCTTTCTAGAAGGTGTATCTTCAGATGGCATAGAAGATGTCACACATGCAGTGCCTTCCCCTGAATGAGACTCAATAGCAGTGATGTTTTTGGGTTTCAAATCAGACTTTGATTCATTGGAATCTGTCCCTGCCATGCTCCGCGAGCTACTTGAGTGGCTAAAACCGGAGCCTCGAGAAGACAAGCTTCCAGATCGGTTCCATTTTAGTGGCTTCCAGTCAATTGAAGAATTCTCTCGATCACATCTTGGTGCTGCTCCCAACTCATCGACACCGCTCATCTTATCATGCTGGTCTTTCAAGTGATGCTGTTCCGAAGTCTTCACAAAATCAGAATGTAGATGAGAGGAATATGTTGTGGAATCATCAAATGACCTCCGGACAGTATTCATATCTGATGATCTCCTGGATAAATTTGGGGAGCCATTGGTGGCTTCCCACGAATGACCTCTTGAATCTCTCTGGCCAAAGGGACCTCTATTGTCCCTACTGCTCCTGCCGTATTTACCATCACGTGAAGCCGATGACCGACTATCTTCTTCCAACATCTTTTCACCAGACCGGGAAGCCCCGTAACCATGAGCGGGCTCTTCAGAAAACATATGCCAACCACCCTGCTTACCATGACCTTCATAAAATATTTAAACAAAAAAAAAGGAAAACAGAAAAAAATCAACACAAGCAAAGTATATATTCCCTCGCCCACAAAAATGAACAGATGGGGAAAACGCAAAAAACAAGCAAAGAATTCTTGCAAAAAAAAAAACATCTTCTCTTAAGGCTTAAAGAAAACAACTACATGCACAGATCTTCAAAAATAAACACAGACTTAGGTTCCAAATTCGAACAATATATCAAATTCGCAAAGAATGATCATAAAAAATAAACACAAGTTTAAGTATCAAATTCCAACAATATATCAAATACCTAAAGAATGATCTTCAAACTCGTAACAATTAGAAAAAACAAAACCTAAGAACAATTCATCGAGTTTTTTCCTTACTTTTCTCTAAAGACTAAACAATCATAGACAACTAATCAAAATGGCAAAGAGGAATAGAAACTCACCAGGCGGTCTGCGAAACTCGGTGGATCCCCAGCGATTCATGTCTCTGTGATGAGAAGAATCTCTCCATCTCGCCACAGACCCAACTGATTCCGACCTCTCGTGCTTCCTCTCCTTGAAGAAGTCCTTTCGATCCCAAGGCAATGGTTCCGGCGGCATCAAAATCAACCGAATAGCATGGGCAACCACTGATAAACAAAATTCACCACACAACACAGAACGCACGTAACAAACCAAAGGCAAAAACTGCACCGCCGCAAAAAAAAACAAACCAGATCCCTTTTCACACCAAAATTAGGGTTCGTGGAGCTAAATACAATAACACCGTCGCACAAGGTTCCCTACCCACGGATCGAACAAGAAACCACAGGCGGCAACAATATCCACGGCGCCGCAAGCCAATCTAGGGCTCCGCCGCAGCTGAAAAACGAAAACCGCAAAGAAGAAAGAAAACCTAGAAATTTGACGAGGTGGAACGAAATTGAAAGAGATATATATAGGAAAATTAATATAGAAGCGGCGTTTCAGATCGAAAAAGGTCGCAATAAAGAGTGAGATAAGAAGGCATTAAGTGCTGATTTCAAATATGGAAGTGTCTATAGCTTAGACTGTGTATGTGTGTTTGCGCCTCGGAACAATGGAAATTTTCTTGCGCTATTCTCTTCTTGGATGGTGGAAAATCTCTATGGGGAGAGAAAGTGAGAACGTGAGAGGAGATAAGGAACTTAGAGAGAGAGACAGAGAGAATGAAAGAGATAGAGAGAGAAAATGTAGAAATGGATCTCAACGTGTTTGTAAAATCATATTTCAACTTCTTTCGATTCCGCTTTTTTATATTCAATATTTTATTTATTTTTATTCTATATGTTTATTTTATTCCTTTTGGCTTTTGGCAAAAAAATATAATAATAATATTTCCTCTAATTCTATTTATAAAATAAATTTTATTTTTGAAATTTTATTGAATATTCAATTTCAATATATTTAATTAAGAATTTAATTGGAATACACTACCATGTAAAGAAAATTATACATCAATGAATCATGACCATTAAAATATAAATTATATTTTATTTTTACTTTAATTATTTATTAAATAATATTAATAAATAATTGTAATATATTGACTATGTAAAAAATTTTACACCAACCATACATAACAATTAATCTCTTTAATTAAAATGAGATTATATTGACTAGATATAATCAATGTATGTAACCATTCTATGGATTATTGAAAGTAATAGAGGAAAAAAGATTAAAATAAAAGGAAATTAGTAAAAAAATATAGTATTTCAATAAGAGAAAAGATAAAAAATAAAAATGGAAAAATATATGTATATTAAATATTTTTAAAGAAAATTAGATATAGTAAAAAGAATAAAAAGTAAAATATTATTAATTTAATAATATATTTATCTATTTAGATTATTTTCAAACTAATATATATATATATATATATATATATATATATATATATATATATATATATATATATATATATATATATATATATATATATATATATATATATATATATATATATATATATATATATATATATATATATATATATATATATATATATATATATATATATATATATATATATATTAGAAAATAATTTTTTTATGGAGATTTTAATACTACAATATTTCGTTTTAAAAATTTTCATCAAAACTCTCTTTTAAATTATTGACTAAATTATAATTTTAATCTCTCTATTTTAAATTTAAATTGTTTTAAATTCTATTCATCTCTCACATATTTACATTTAAAATTGATGAAGATTCTTTTTTTTTTAAATTTACTTGTGAATTGATCTTACTAGTTGATTAGAACCTACAAGGTGGTTGAATGATGATCTTCAGATGGGTTGAAAAGTCGAGGAAGAAAAATAGGAGTTGTACCTGCAAGACACTCCGACAATCAAGTAAGCGTGAGAGTAAAAAGAGATACAAGATAGAAAGTCTAGGGCTTTAGAAGTATGTGATGAACATTGAATATTTGTCCTCACATGTGTAAGGGTTTATATAATGCCCTTGGTACTTGGCCATTGATCCTTATTTTTGGGCCTATATATGCAGGTCCACAAAAATATGTAACTGCCAAGACTTGGTCAAAACGGGCAGTCGTGCCCGTAACAAGTCGTTGCTCTGAGCAGGAGAAGGATTACAGGCAGATGCATTTTGGACGTTTCCTTATTGTCTACTTGACTCGTGTCAGGAAGACATAGAGGAAGTTGTCGTTGCAGGAAGATGCGTTTTGGACGTTCTCTGGTTGTCTGATTCGTGCGTGTCGAGAAGACCTGGAGGTGGTCGGCGTGGACAGGCATAAGGGTGTCAGGAATTAGTCGTAACGGACAGAGATGTTGGTCGTTACAACGGGCAGAGAAGTGTTCACGGGCAAGTGTGATTCTTGTCATTTTTGGATCATTGTCCACGTGTGGTTGGCAGGATGAGGACTAGCCTGTTTGAGCAGAAAGTTGTAGTCTCATTGAACCTGGGGGGACAACCGACAACATGTCCCTGACTGATGGGCAAAAGTGTTGTTGAGAGCAAATATGGTCTCTTTAGTCCTTGGGGGCAACCGACCACGTGTTCCCAACTGAGGGGCAAAAGTGCTACTGAGAGCAGATGTGGGGTCTTTGGTCCTTCGGGGGCAACCGACCACGTATCCCCAACTGAGGGGCAAAAGGGAAAGGTGTCTTTTGTATGCTTCAATTGATTAGGCCAAAACTGTTGGACCATATTGGATGTAGAAGTAGATTGGGACATACCTAGGCATTTGGCCATACCAGAACAGAAGCCCCCCCAAGTCGTTGCTTCTAGGCATAAGAGTGATAACTTAGAGTCAGCCCATGCACTGAGGAGGAAAACGTGTTGTTGGTGCTTGTTGTTCGCGACAAGGACGTTTTGTGATCTTTACGAGGACATGCTCGTAGGTGATATATTATTTTTTATTAGGTTTATGCATGTTTATATGCTTGTCTGCCTGAGACGTTTTATTTTGATTAAGAGTTTCAGGGGTTTGCTCGTTAGTATTTGAGTCTGCCAATGTGGGTGACTGGTTGAACGACCAGGGTGATCACCTGGCATGGGCCAGAACTCAGGTCTTATTTTGAGGGCCCGAGCTCGGCAGCGTGAACTTCCCATCGCGAGCTGGATGTTCTGTCATCGTGGTAAGACGACGATGGAGCTCGTTTAAGTTTTCCATGTCGGGCTAAGAATCCGATCATTAAAAGAGTGGAAACATGCCTCTTTGTTTAATTTGGAGTGCCATGCTTGTACCCGGGCATGCACATGTGGTCGGGCAAACTGTGTTCGTTGTTTCGACGAGACACACCGACTGTACCAGTGTCTTAACTGTAATATTGCCTTAGTTTTTCGGTGTTCCAAGGTCGAGCAAGTTGTTCCCCGTGCAGGTTTTTGAGATAGTATGCCCAATTTCTGTTTTTTCTCGGATGCGTATCTCTTGGATGACAAACTTGTTCTGCCTTTCTTCTTCTGCTCGCGAGCTTAGACGAGGTGTCTGCTCGGGTGTTGCGTTCGCGCGGGAACATATGCATGTTATAATGGTGTGTTCACGGGGAATGTATGCCTTCCAGGCTGGTGTGCTCGCGAGGAGCGGATTCCTTCTAGGTTGGTGTGCTCGCGGGGAGCAGATGCTAGCCAGGCTGGTGTGCTCGCGGGGAGAAGATGTCGGCCAGGATGGTGTGCTCGCAGGGAGCAGATACCGGCCAGGCCGGTATGCTCGCAGGGAGCGGATAAATGCCAGGTAGGTGTGCTTGCGGTGAGTGGATGCCTGCTCGATTGATGTGTTCGTGGAAATGGTTCGTTTATGCGCTCCGCTCATCAGGGAGGATGGTGAGGTCATTTGTGATGTGATGCCGAGCATTATTGTCGGTCACTTTCTCCTCGTACTGTATGTATGCTTGAGCCTTGAGGAAGAGGGAGTTGAGCGTGGCTGGAGTTTCGATGCCCATAACCTTCACGAAGTCGTTGCGGGGACGGAGCCCTCGTTCAAGAAGGTACTTCTTCATGGCATCGGTCGTCGAGACCTGTGTGACTTCTTTGTTGAAGCGCTCATTATATGCACGTAAAGATTCGTCTCTGCCCTTGATAATCGCTTCAAGTGAAGCCTCTGATTTTAGATGTCAATGGGAGGCGGTGAATTGCCTTAAAAATATCTTTCCTAGTTGTTTCTAGGAAGTGATAGATTCGGGGGCTAAGATTTTGTACCAAGCCATGGCACATTTTCTCAGAGTGGTTGGGAACAACCTGTATTTGATTGCGCCATTCACGCCTCAGTAATACAACAGGGATTCGATGTCTTCTTTGTGGTCATTCGGGTTAGTCATACCATCGTAGGATCCCAATAGGGGCGACTTCTCGAGCCCAACTGAGAGTCGTGCCTCCATAATTTCTCTTGATAATAGGCCGCAGGGCTCGTCGTCATCGGTCTCTTCTGGCAATGATGATGTGGAGTGATGGTTTCTTCCTTGTTGGGCGTCGTCATCTAGTCGAGGGGAGGGACTTCGCCCTTGTCACCTCGGTTTGGGTGATAGTGACCTATTGCGGTCGTCTTTGTAGGTGCTTTCCGTCTTCTTGGGAAGCAGAGAGTCTTTATCGTTCTCAGGAGATGCTCGATCACGCTTCTTGTGGAAAGAAACGTCGAGCCTTTCCTTTCTTGGAGGACACCCCTATCGGGGAGGTGATATACTGGAGAAGTTATGTCATTGGTGTCTCTGAGAGTGAGACCTTGATTGTTTCCGCTCCAAAGCCCTCATCCTTTTGCTCTACTGAAGGATGAGGGAGTTGGTTCGGATAAGGGCAACAATCTGTGCTACTATGGTTGGGTCAGTATTCTACGGAACATGAATCGGTTGCAGAATCTCTGGCTGATCTTCAACAGGGTTCTTGGTAAATTGTTCATCCAAGAATAGATTGTTGTCGTAATCAGCGTTGATGGAATCCAGGGATGTAGTATGTCCGTCTCGGGCGCCAAAGTTATCCTCGAGGTGGGATGTTCTTGGCTTTCGTCAGTCTTGCGTATCAGGGAGAGCATAGTCTTTCCAGATATGTGGTGATCACTGTGATCATCCATGATTGATGAATAGAAAGGATCTTTGATCTTCAGATTTTGGGAATAGAAAATGG